GCAACTCCAGCAGTTGCAGAGGTCTCCTTTGAAGTAAAGCTTTATCTTTCATTTCACCCATACTTCACCCCCAGTTGGTTTTTATGGTGAAATTCTTTCTGCCCAACTATGTCAGCTGGAGACGTCCAGCTGCCCCTAGCCCTAAGGCCAAAGTCTCCAAGCAGAATGATACCTTCTTCCTTGCCCCCAGGGAGAGGAAAGGGCCATCCCAGGCCTCTTCTTTTAGGATAGGCTGCCCCTCTCCCAATTCAAGTGAGCCAACCCCCTCTAGTGCCTCCATGTGCCCTGGGCACAACACCTCATATGCCTAACCCTTCTTTTCCCCCATTCCTGAGACCTGCCGTGCTTTTCCTCATTGCACTCCCGTCTTCCCAATATTCCCTTTCAATCTGTACTTTTGTCTTTGTCATCTGAGCTAGACCTGGCTGGACTACCTGTTCCAGGGCTCTGGGCTCAGGCCTGCTGTCTTTGGACCAGCCCTAGCTTCTAGGGGCAAGGTTTTCAGTGCCTGCACTGTCTGTCCTACAGGAACCCTGGGTGGGGGGTAGTAGCTCTGTCCTCGTAAATATGACTGTCCCTTGAAATCTACATTTGCTGAATTAAAGTTTTTAAGTAAAATGATTTTAATGAAACTGGTACTTGACTGATTATTTTACCAGCTAGCAGTATTTTACCCATGGAGTCTTAATTCTTGGAATCCCCCCCACCTTACATAACTAGGGTCTTCTCAGGCCCATCGAAGGGGCCCAGGGCCCCAGCCCTATTCTCACATCACTTTGTTGAATTAAATGGAGTTGTACATGGTAAACGCTTTAATAATGTTCATTGAATGGCAGCGGCGGTCAAAGACTGAATCTGAAGTCAGCATGACCTCTCTGCCTTCGGGCAAGAGGGCAGGAAAAGAGAAACCCCGGCTTCGACGTACGGTAGCCACTTGGGTCCTCCAGCCTGCGCGGCTATTCCGAGAATTACAGTTTCCCCGTGAGGCTCGGTGGTTGATTGCGCAGGCGCCTGGGGCCTTGCTGGGTCACGTGGAAAATATCATGGCCGCCTCCATGGCGGGGAGGAGCGTGAGAGCCGGGGCGTTGATACGGGAGGCCGGTGGCAGTCTGTGGCCGTGCCTGGGGCCCTGCAGACCTTACCCGAGGAGAGCTGTCGCACCGTCACCGGTCAGGCCCCGGGACTTCCGGAGCACAGGTGCTTAGGGGAGGGGATGGGGCTCCTCCCCTCCCGGTAACGTGCCGACCGTGGAGGGGTGGGGGGGAAGGGTTCTGAGCGGACTTAACCCCTTCGCCCCCGGGACCCCCCCTCCCCCTATGGGCTGTGCTCTGCTCTCAAGGTGCTCCCTGTTTTCCAGGCCCTTGCCCCACAGAGGAGGAAAAGCAGCAGCCGGACACGGAGCCTCCCTCCGGGGACTTGTGAGTAAGACCTGCACGGGGGAGGAAGGGGAGAGGCGGGAGCCGTGGCCCGTCCTTTCCGTGACTACCCCCACCCCTCCCCTAGGGTGAACGTGGTGTTCGTGGACCGCTCGGGGAAGCGGATCCCCGCTTGTGGGCGAGTGGGCGAGGACGTGCTGCGCTTGGCCCAGCGGCACGGTGTCGATTTGGAGGGTAAGCGGGCTCCCCAGGACCGTCCGGAGCTGGGGGAAAACAGGTCCGCGGTCTAGGAGTCATCGAATGTCAGAGCTGGAGGGAACCATAGCCGTCTGCCAGTCCGACACTCCCACTTTACTGCATTTTGTGTGGCTGGGTGTGCTTTTAGTTTGGATTTTATTTTATTACTTTGAAAATTTTTTATTGCTAGCTTGTTTTTACATCACAGTCATTTAGGGAAACACTCCTCTTCATCTCCCATTTGAATCCTTTCTTGTTAACAGTTAAAACAAAAACATCTGATACAGTGACTTTCCCTGGCAGTGTATACGACATTTCGCCCCAGTGGCCATCCATCTCTGCTAGGATCAGGAAAGGCATTGCAGAGAGGAAAGCACTTGTTTGAAGTCACCCAAAGGTGCCAGTTACAGTCGTAGAGCAACGCCTGAAATCCCTTTTGCTAATCAATCCAGGGAATTTCTTCTTATTATACTGGAATTAGGAAAGGAGCTGGAGACTGGCCATTCCAGGCTTTTCCTGTTTTTGGTTGGGGGCACTTTCTCCTGCTCCTTAGGATATAACCTAGAGAGATTAGCCTTGCTCCCTGTATCCTCCCTATATCTATGGATTTTTTTTTTCCTGTTGTACTTTTACTAAGCCACTGACCCCACTGCCTACCCTCTTCCTGGCTTGTTTTTACCCAACTTGTTTTGAGGAGGAGGAGGTGAAGAAGGTGGTGGGGCTTAGGTCCCCCGCATATGCCCTTTCCTTCCACAGGAGCCTGTGAGGCCTCCCTGGCCTGTTCTACCTGCCATGTCTATGTGAGTGAAGAGCATTTGGCTGTTTTGCCACCACCTGAAGAAAGGTAAGGGTTGGGGAGCGGAGAATGGCAGAGGCTGCCTTGGGACTGAGGCTTCCTGGGATCCCTGGTTCAAGAGGCTTGAGCCAGAATCGGATGATGCAGCACAGTAACCAGTGGCCACAGGTGTCATCCAGGCAGCAAGGGGAAGAAAGAGGCAGGTGGGTGGCTCAGGTCTTGTCCAGGGCCCTGGGCTGCCTGAGATGGGGGTTAGGGGTAGAATCTAATCTGCTCCCCAAACTTGCTGGCTCCTTTATTGACCACCACGTCTTTGGGCAGGGAGGACGACATGCTGGACATGGCCCCACAGCTGCAAGAGAACTCAAGGCTGGGCTGCCAGATCATCTTGACAAAGGAACTTGAGGGTGCCCAGTTCACTTTGCCGAAAATTACTCGAAACTTCTATGTGGATGGCCATGTCCCCAAGCCCCATTGACAGGGAGGAGCAGCCAAGGGGGGAGGCACCTTCAGCTGCTGGACACATGTGCCTCTTCCTCAGGGCTTGGTAGCTGACTGACTTGAGCATGGGACTCACTTAATGGACATACAGCCCATCTCTTGCCCTACTCTTCTCAGGGCCTAGCCCTGTGGACCAAAGCTGGCCAGATTGTGGACACCTTATACCGGACCAGAGGGGGCTCAGAAGAGAGGCCATGGAGAAGTCTCCCTTTTCTTGGGAGGAATCTACACTTGTGCTTTAGATGAAAAGGTCCCTCTCTTGCTTTAGCCTTGGCAGGGGAGGATGTGGGGCTCCTGGGCCCCCAAACTGGGGGTGTCTGTTAGAGCCACAATAAAAACACTTTGTTCACCAGAGTCTGTGGAACCTCTTTGGAACAGGGAGGGACCTCAGGAAGTTTCTCTCATAATTCTACCACCACCACCCTGACAAACAGGATAAATCTAAATTTATAAAGACAAAGGATTTTTAATTGAAAGAACCTTAGAGAAAATGGTCCAACAGGAAGCAGAAAGGAGAGGACTTAGCTAGTCAGATTCACACATGCAAGCAGAAGAGGCAAAATTGAAATCTAGGTCTTCTGTCTGGCCCAGGGTCAGCCCTGGGAAAATGGGACTCACAAGTCCAGGGTGTTCACCCTGTTGACTTGGCTCCTCCAGTTGGATGAATTGTGCGGTTTTCTAGCAGATGAAGTGGGGATATAAGTTAATGTTTACATAAAGCATTGAGATTTACAAAGTGATTTACGTATAATATGTTATTTAATCCCCACATCAACCCTGTAAGTTCCATGATATTGTTATCCCCATTTTACAGATGGGAAAAGAGGCGAATCCTAGACTCCAGGCCAGCACGCTATCTGATGAGCTGCCTCTGGGTGGCTGATAAATATATGGACCTGAGGCAGCTATGTGGTACAGTGTATAAAGCTCTGGGCTTGGAGTTATGAGGACCTGAGTTCAAATTTGACCTTAGACACTTGATACTAGCGGTGTGACCTTGGGCAAGTCACTTAACCCCATGACCTCACCAATAAATAAATAGATGAATATGTGGACCTGACTGAGGAAAATGGAATCTAGATATGGAAAACTGAGGCTCAGGGAATGGGATTACTTGCCCCAAGTCAATCAGTTATTTAGGAGCAAAGCCAGGACTAAAGTCCAAGGCTCCCAGAGGTCAGTTCTTCCAAGTCTGGGAAAGTCGAATGAGAATAAACTGCAAGATACCTGATCCAATCCCCTCCCCTCCTTTTATAAGAAACTGGTTTGTAGAAGTCGCGTCTTGCCCAATGGTCACACAAGTGAGGGTGGGATCAGAAGAAATATAGTATATAACGACTAGCTTAAGCCAGGAATATCGAGGCACCTATATATATGCAAGGGGAGAGCTAAGTATCTGCCCAGGGCTACACTGGACAGGCAGCACGGCCCCTAAGCCAAAGGTTTTGGACACTCAGGAAGGGGTGGGGCCTTCGCAGTGACCACGCCCTCCTCAGCTGCAGCCAATTTTCTCCTGGAAGGGGGCGGGGGCAGGGGCCAGAAGAGCCAGAGGTCTGGGGTGGGGTCTCCAGCTCTAGCCATGGAGGGGGAGCCCACCCCGGATTTTTCTGTCCTTCGGGAACTGCTGGCCCCGCCCTGCCTGGAGCCAGAGCCAGAGCTCGAGGGGGTGCACCCTCTGCCTCACCCCACTCCCTGCGCAGGCTCCTTAATCCTGCCCCAAGAAAACGAGAGCCCTGGAGACAGCAGGTGTATAAGGGCTCAGACCTTCCCCGCCCCCCCCCCCACATTCCCCTCAGGGACTGGGCCCAGCCGGAGTAGCTCTCCCGTCAGGGATCCTTGGGGTCACCCCGGGGACATCCCCTGGGTTCACGCAGGGTCAGCCAGAGGCCACTCCCTAGGGGCCTCGGATCAGTCTGTGGGCCCTGGGGGAGGGCAGCTAATCCCATTGCCTGCTCCCCCTAGGTCTCCTTGGTTGGCCCTCCCAGCTGCAGCGACCGGCCTGCGCTTTCTCCAGGAGACTGCTGAGCGGCTCGGGCAGGCTCCTGTCCCACAAGCCTCCCGAGCTGAGCCCTGGCTGCAGCCACCACTGACCCCCAGGGCCTTGGCCCCCCCTGACAGTCCCTGGGGGTCCAGGAGCTTGGGATGCTGTGGACTCACTGGCCCTCATCAGCCTTCAGTGTCACAGACTGAGCCCCCCAAGGGCCAGGAAACAGGTGGGGCTGGGAGTGGGACTGGGTAGGGGTCCTGGCCTCCAGGCCCTGGCAGGCAGGACCCTCCGCAAACAGCCCCACCCCCAACGGGGAGCCGAGGGTCTGGAGCCAGGATTCCAGGGTGTTGTGCTGAGGATGCACCTGAAGCCTGATCAGGAAGGGCACCAGCTGCTAATCACTGCCCAGTTCAGGTATTGAGCTGGGACATCCAGGACCCTCTTCCTCATATATCTTGCCCCAGAGGCTGTGTTCCCCTGCCTGAGACACTTGGGAACAGCAGAGTGGGGATAGGCTGGCTTGGTTGGGGCAAAAGGTAGGAAGGTGGAAAGCTGAGGGAAGGAGTAATTCAGGGGTCTCTTCTTATGCATAAGGCTGGGAGCTTTTGGGAACACAGCAATGATGGTCAAGGCCTAATCCTCTTCCAATTCCCTTTACAGTTCAGCCTGTGGTTCCCGGAACTTGGAGGCCTCACCTAGTCCCATGGGGGCCTTGCCCAGTCCCATGGGGGCAGCCACATCAAACCATCAGGGTCCCTCAGGTATGTGAGGGAACCAGTCCGTTTCTTGCCCACCTCTGGGTGGGAGGCTTCTCGGCAGCTGGAAGCTAAAATTTTGCTGTGCTATCCAGTTCCTGACTGTCTGCCATCCCTCTCTCTCTCTTCCTCCCTACCAAGTCTGTCTTTTCCCCATCACCAAGGCTGCCTCTTCTTCTCTCTCAGTGTTGACCACTTGGGTTAAGACTTCTGGACCATGGGGCAGCTAGGTGGTGCAGTGGACAGAGCACCAGCCCTGGATTCAGGAGGACCTGAGTTCAAATCCAGCCTCAGGCACATAACACTAGCTGTGTGATCCTGAGCAAATCACTTAACCCCATTGCCTAGCCAAAAAGAAAAACAAAAAACAAAAAAACCCCAAAGACTCCTGGACCTTGTGGGGAGGGCTAGACCATGAGTCCTAGATGCCCATTTCTGTCTGGGGAATACTAACCAGGCCCAAAGGCACCGTTAAGCTTAGAGAGGGTCTGACCAGGTGGCTGTTTCCTCCTTCACCCCTACCACACTTCTGACCTTCCAGGGAGTCGATGCTGTGCCTCCTGCCGAACCCAGAGGACCCCACTGTGGCGGGATGCAGAGGATGGGACCCCACTGTGTAATGCATGTGGTATCAGGTACATGCTGGGCAAGAGCAAAGGACCTGAGCCAGGCTTTGGAGCTCTGAGTTGGCCCAGGGATCAGGAAGGAAGCTTTATCCCGCTTGGGATAGGAATGCAGCTGTCCAAGCATCCTTCCTTCCTTTCAAGGTCCTTGGAGAGTCCGGAGGGAACTCGGTGACAGCTTCTTAGCTTCTGACATCAGGGTGAGGTGGCACAGTGGATAGAGTGCTGGCCCTGGAGTCAGGATGACTGAAGTTCAAATCCAGCCTTGGACACTTACTAGCTGTGTGACCCTGGGCAAATCACCATCTGCTTTAGTTTCCTCATCTGTAAAACAGGGCTAATAATAGCACCTGCTTCCCCGGGTTGTTGTGAGGATGAGATATTTGCTTTGGAAACTTTGAAAGAGCTACATAAATGCTTCTTACTACTACCACCTACTGCCCTCACACAGGTACAAAAAGTATGGAATTCGCTGCCCTACGTGTTGGACTGTACCTAGGAAGAGCATCTGCCCACTTGGACATTGTACCCGTTGCGGGGGTTGGCTCTGTACCCCACAAGGCCCTGGCAAGAAAGGTGAGGAACTTCCCCTTCCCCAGGCCCTGGCATTGGTCTGGGCCCTCCTGAGTTTACTCATCCTGTCCCTTTCCCTACATACCTATCCTTAGCCCCATTGACCCCCACCCACATTCTGAGGAACTTTTGCTGAAGAGGAATGAGGGAGGATTCACGGGACTGGAAGGCAGGGGGGAGGACACCATATCTGTCATATTTATGACTCTTCTTTCCCTCCAAGGGACTGACAGCCATGACTCCAGTGTCCGGCCCCGGGTGCCCCGGCTCCATGGGGAGAAGGAAAAGAGCTTCCCCAGAGAAGCTGCAATGAGATCAAGAGAGGCAGCAGGGATCCCCACAGGCCTGGGGCATAGCCCTGATGAAATGTGGATTCCTGTCCCAGTGGGAAGGCCGGAGCAGTGACTTCAGTCATGCCCTCCCCCACACTCATCCAAAGAAAAAATCAGAAATAAAATAGATCTGTTCATGCAGAGGAAGACTACTGTGTCTGATTGAGTGGGAGGAGGCGACCCTACTAACCTTGGCCCTTACTGACTGTCTTCTGACCCTTCCTCTCAGATGCTCCCTGACACAATTTGCCCTGTGCTTTTCTTTGGGGAGGGGGAGGAAGGGGCACACATGGCCATTTTCTTTCTTTTCAGGGAAGTTCTTGCTAGAGCATCAGAACCCATCAGGGAACTTGCTGGCCTTAACAAGGATGTTTCTGTCTGAGAATTGGTTGGGGTGGGAGGAGCAGGGGAAGCTGGAGGAAGGGGTACAGAAAATGAGGAGAGGGAAAAAGCATCAGCTACTGGCATGTACGTGTGTGGTTACTGCCTCCTCCATGCAGACATGCTAAGAGTCACCCCAACTCTGAAACTGTGTCCTTCTGCAGGGATCTCATGCCCTGACCTGGGGGTGGGAGTAGGGGTAGGGGGTAGGGGTGGGGTGAACTGAGGCTCTAGCAGATGGGAATAGCTGGTTCAGAGGCCGGGTTTTACTCTGCCCCAGCTGCACACACTCCGAGCCCATCATGTCCTGTTCATACTCTCCTTCCCCTACCAGGAGTCAATCATATCTAGAGACTGAGGATCACAGAAATGAAAGTTGTTGGACATAAACTTAAGTCCCTCAGGACTGGGAAGGTCAGTGATGTTAAGGCAGAGTTTAAGGCTGAGGTTCTTTGTCTGAGAATCCAGAGGCCCCTGTCTAGACACATGCGGGACAAGATGACTCAGCTGCTGACCCCACTCTGCACCTCAGTTTACTTATCTATGATATGGGGAAAGTGACCCCAAGGGATCTTTTATCAGAGCCCTAGAGGGGGAGGGAAAAGAAAGGGTAAGGGGAGAAAAGCTTCCCCATCTCCACCCTTCAGGCGTTGAGACTTCTCTGCATTTTGTTCTCAGGACGTTAGTGAGCTTCTCAGGCAGAGTAAACCGAGGTAAACCTTAGAATCCTGGCCACTTAGTCTAGCTTACCCATCTACTCTCTGTTGTGATTTGACTTTGTCTTCCACTGTCCAAAGATGCTTCTCTAAACCTGGGCTGGGTTTCTAGGAGAGATTCCAACTTCCTTCTGTCCAGGTGGGAGTGGTGGTGGGAGGTCCCTCTGGAGATTTGAGGACAGATGAGGAGGCTCTTCTGGCCTCCCTAGGACCTCCCCTTGGCCCTCCGAGCTATCAGGGTTGGAGTTGGGGGAGAAGGAATCCTGCCTTGGCCAGAACTGCCTGCTAGGGTTACTCCCTCCCCTTCTCACTCACACCCAGTGCAGAGGAAACCGAGGAGCAGCAGCTTAGGTCTGGCCGGAAGAGATAGCATGAAGGAGACAGCCTGGCCCCAGGAAGGCTGGGGTTGGTACTGGTGCTCACAGTCTGTGCACCCTCAGATCCTGAGGCCAGGACTGGGAAGGATTACCAGGCTGGGAGCAAACCACTGAGCAGATGCTTTTTCCATTGGCCAGAGTAGGGTAGCTTCCACCTCCATTCTGGAATAGAGGAAGACCCTCTGGAGCTCTCCCAGTCCAAGGGTCTAGTGTCAAAGTTCCTTAAATAAAGACCCATATTGAGGAGGGAGTAGGGAAAAAGGCATGGTGAGAAAACACCAAGACATGAAGAGATCGGGAAACAGAAAGAGAAATGGAGACTTACAGAGATACAGAATCCTAGAATAAAATGCTGGAGCTAAAGAAATCCCACAGTTCAATCAGTTTAATCTCCTCATTTTAGGGACGGGGAGCCCCATGCCAGAGAGGTGGAATAATGGACGTGGCCCAGATCATATGGCAAATCAGTGGCAAAGTTGGGCCAAACACTCGGGGTTCTTCCCCTCACCCCACCCGCGCTATCCCCTGCCTGTGCTTCTTTCCACCTGGCTGCCTTGGAAACCCAGAGACAAATACAGAAATAGAAACAGACTCACACAAAGAGATAGACATAGAAACAAACTTCCCCATAGAAAAAGATGGACAGAGAAGGAGGCAGAAAGGGAAGGGGGTGGGGAGAGGGAGGGCAAGAGACAGCTGACAGAGTCAATTATAAAAAGTTTATTAAGGGATAGAAAACTCGGGGCAGTAGTTGAAGGGCTCCTGGGGATCCTGGATCACAGCTGCCTTGGCACTCGGGCTCCATAAATAAATACATCAATTAATAAAGACATGTCAGGGAGGGGCTGCTTACCCATCTGGGCATAAGGGTGTGGGAAGTCCTGCTCCTGGGGGGTGGGGGGGCTCACGTGGCAGTTAGTTGGATGGAATACACCTCCTCTGCTCCTCCTGCCTCAGTCTCAGCCCCAGCCCCAGCACCGCTTCCACCCCCAGCCCCGGTCCCAGCCCCACTCCCATTCAAGCACACAGCTTCCCCAGAGCTCTCAGCCTCCTGCACGTTGTACTCTCCTTTCTTACAGGCTGTGGACTGGAGGTAATAGGTGAGGCCACCCAGGCTGGCCAGCAGCAAGGCCCCTCCGGCCACCCCGCCCACGACAATCCACAGCCAGGGCCCTGTGGACAGCCAGGGATGAGATCCTTCGGACTGTGGGCCAGCCCCCAGTGACCCTTCACACCCACAGGAGAGCTAGGCCATAGGCTGCTGAATAGCTAACCCAAAGCCTTCTCCCTTATGGACCGCTACCCCCTCTGCCCAAGGCCTAGCCTTACCAGCCACGTGCACGGTGATCTGAAGGGCATGGCTTCCGTGGGTGTTGGTCGCAGCACACTCATACACACCTCCGTGGCTGCCCAGGGCACCAGCCACACTGAGAGTGCTGTTGTTGCCCGAGAGACCAATGTTGGGGGCTCCTGGGGGCGTTCGCCAGCTGTATTGGGCTGGGGGGGATCCTTCAGCACGACAAGTCAGGGTAAAGTTCCCCCCAGGCTTCACACTGCCTGGGGGCATGGCCACCAGCTCTGCTACCAAGGGCCTGTCTGGGGGTGGAGAAGCCTGTTATCCCCAGAATCAGACAGAATCCTGTCCCCTAGGGAGCCCTGCCCTCTTCTCCCTGCCCTGAATCTTTTCTAGGACTGGCCACTTACACTCTACCCCAATGGTGACCATCCTGGTGTCTGATCCATGGCTGTTGGTGGCTACACAGTGGAAGATCCCAGCATCTGCCCTGGAAACACTGGGCTTCTCTGGCCGCTCCGGCCCTTCCCGGGAGCACTGGACCCTTGGAGTGGGGTTGCCCTGGGCTCTGCAGGTCAGTGCCGGTGCTTGTGTCCCCTCCAGCCATGTCTGGTGGCTTGGGCAGCTGGCCTCATCCATTTCTGGTGGGGCTAGAGGGCAGCAAGGTTAACTTGTCAGTAACAGGGGCCAGATGTACTGATAAGGGCCCCTACACCCTGAGCCCTGGGTCCCCAACTTACACTCGGCACTGATGGTGACTGTCTTGCTGGCTGACCCATGCATGTTGGTTGCATTGCAGTAGTAGAGCCCAGGAGAAGGGTCATGCCCCAAGCGAGAGCCCAGGTGAGGAAAAAGCAGCTCCTCATGGCTCCGGTTCCCTGCCCTTACACATAGCACCACAGGCTCTGGGTTCCCATCAGCCTCACAGGAGAACTGGTGGTCAGACCCCTTGACCCAGGTCCAAGCACCAGGGCAGTCAACCTCCCCAAAACTTGGTGCATCTGCCATAGGTACAAGACAACCATCAGGCACTGCAGGGCACCAGGCTGCCCTCTGCCCCTGGCCCTTACCAATCTCCTTTCCCTCTCCACTCACACTCAACAGTGACGGACACATTTGTGGAGGCTGAGCCTCGAGGATTTGTAGCCACACAATGGTAAGTGCCTGCATGTTCCCGGGTGACTTGAAGTTGCCCCACAGGAAGCCAGGCCCTGGGCCCAGTGGGGATGCAGCTCACAGTGGGTGGTGGGACCCCAAGAGCCTGACAGGTCAGCACCTCCTCTGTACCCTCAAGCCATGTGCGTCTCTCTGGGCAACCTAATTGATCCAGGACTGGCCCATCTGGTAGCAGAGGGGGATGGTATTGGTGGGGGTAAGGGGACAGGAGGCAAGACACCCACCATACTTATTTGTTGTCAAGTGGGGGCTTCAATTGGTAGGATGCAGTCATTGGAGAGTGAGAGCAGTGTTTAAAAACAAAGAAAAGAACATGAATAAAATGTTTTTCTAAAAATAGAAGGGGCCCCAGCCCTGCTATTCTGCTGGTCACTGCTCCATCCCAACTGGACAATACCCTGGCACTGCTGGGTATTCCCCCTTGACCTTTTCCCCATAATCTCCACCACCCATTCTTGGATGGGAGGGCCCTCCCTCCAATGGGGCTGAGCCAGGGTGGGTGTGGTGGCCCCACTGTCACTCACACTCCACCATCACCATCACATCCTTTGTTGTTTGGCCCACTGTGTTGGAAGCTGTGCATTGGTAGGTGCCCGCGTGATCCCGGCTGATGGGCAGCGGCAGGCCCAGCGGGATGGCTGGCCCCCCCTCTGGCCGGATACATTCCACAACTGGGGGTGGATTCCCTGGAGCCCAGCACTGCAGGGTGGATTCCATCCCCTCCAACCATGTCCAGTTCCCAGGACAGCCTGCCTCATCCAGTCTTGGCCCATCTGGAGTGAAAGAGGGGAGTTCCCTGTTGACTGTGCCCCCAAACCTCAGGGCTGAATCCCCAAATGGGTCTGAGTTTCAGCTCTATCAAAAGGGCCTTGTGGCTAGGCAAATAAGGAAGAAAATCAACACAAAGTGGTAAGTCAGAGATAAAGCAAAAGTAAAAGAACACGGAGTTTTAGTCTGAATTTCTTGTTTTACCCTCAATTTACAGATGCCCGGAGGGTGAAATTATTTGATCCAAGATCACATGAGTAAAGATCTGGGGCAGGGGTGGGATAGAATCAGAGCTCAGATATCAAAAGTGGGGCAGTTAGGAGTAGAGGTTTTTCCTTTCCTTGGTTCTCATAGACTTTGACCTCTCTGGAGCTTCTGACATTAATTTTAGGAAGGGACGATGACAAACTGGAAAACACCCAGAATAGT